TTCTTCTAAATGTTGAATGGTTTTGCATATATTAGAAGTTATCTTCCAATGTCTTTTTAACTTATTAGCCCAAAGCTTATTATTTTTTGAACAATTAATTTGTACTTTAGAACTCATATTTGTTGTTTAAAATTTTGAAGTTCATCAATAAAATCTGATTTAGTAGGACTAGGAAAACTATTTTCACTATTTTGATCATCTTGATATAATGGTTTGGGAATAGAATTAGTATAGTCAACAGTTTTTAGTTTTAAAGATCTTGACTTTGATAACGAAGATTTTGAAGAGCTTGTTTCTGGGATAAAAGAAGTTGATAATCTAGATGATGAAATTTTTAAGGAAGAAAAATTTATATCTACTGAACCATCATTATATTCTATAATATTTGAGATTTGTTTTGAAGAGTCTAGTGGTTTTGGATCGATAACATTTTGTAAATTCCAATTACATGATTGAGTTATATCAGACCATTTTAACCTTTTTGGTGTGTGGACTTTGGTATGGTTAGTATTTGCTTCAAAAATAATTGTTTCATTTTTAGGACTTGATAAACGTGTTTTCGGTTCAAGTGTAGTTGTCATAGTTTTGTAACAGACACGATAAATTATTGCTAAAGGCTTTGTATCATCTTTAAATTCTAAATTTTTGTTTCTACAGTTAACACTAAAGTATCTAAAATATTTTTATATCAAATAACCCTACAGAAAAATTTGGATAACAATTGAAATAAATAGGTCCGTTAGCAATATTTGTTTCAGCCATAGCTAAAATAGAATTTTGAAAATCTTTATGTCTCTTGTCTCTTAGAATAAGGAGAACAGGGGCATCTATTCCAATTCTGAATAGAGGCTTGATAGCAATTTGGACTAAACCGACATGTAAAAATTTATATTTCATTCTATGTTCTAGAATAGATCGTGATGATAATAAATGCAAATTTTGTTGGTTTTGACCAATAGACAAAGTTTGTTCTGCCATTTTAATAGAATAACCTTGAAAATAGTCAAAAGTTCCTATTCTATATATTGTATTAACATTAGTTTTAGGTATTGTCCAATCATTCAAACTTTGTTCTATGCCATTAACGGTTTCTTCAATAGAATTTATTTGATTATCATAATCTTGTTCATTGTCGATATTTTACCAGGAATATATTTTTTGGATAGTATGCGTGAAAATTTACTCATATTCAATTAATTTTGCTTTAAAATTCTATAAGAAAACTTACTTGTTTTAATAACGATAAACAGAGGCGAATCGTCTCGACGATGATTGTGGTCCGGCACCGACAAGAAGCCCTTCTCTCCAAGCACGATGATCGTCTCGAGAATTTTTGCAGGGAAAATGAGTTCGTCGTCCTCTTCCAAGCATGATGACAAGAAGCCCTTCTCTCAAAAACTTTTTCCATTTCAAAATGAAAATCGTTTTTCTCCTTTAACTCCTACTTCTAAGAATTCACAACTTTATTCGATGCAAAACCATTCAACATTTAGAAGAAACTAGAACTCATGAAGATTATAATTTATACAAAATACTTCCATATACTAATAAATATAATAAACAAATAGAAAAAATTTCTAGGCTAACGATAGGAATAAAAAAATACGAAAAATCACGAAATCATAATTTAGAATCAATAAAACATATTTCTTCAATCCTAACAAAAACAACCTGTTAAAATGAATTTCTCGAATTTAGAATATCAAGTTGACTTTGATTACTTAAAAAATATTGAGTATTACAAAGATTACAATAATAAAAAAAGAGCTTGGCATGAAGAAAATTTCTCATACTACTTAAGATTTCTCCATTTAGGCCTTTGGGAAGATTATGGTTTATCAAATAAAATTCATTCTCCTTTTTTTCAATGGTTTGAGTTAATTTATGCCCCTAAACATAAAATAAATTACTCATTTAAAAATGATTCTATCACTCCCATTTTAGAGAAAAAATATAAAGATATTATTTCTAATAAAGAAATCATTGCTAATTTTCCACCAAAAGGAGAAATTATTATTAACGATATGTTTATTGCGACTCCTTTAGTTCAAGCCCCAAATCAATTAACTACTGAAAAGGGTCTTCAAAAAATTATTTACCAAAATAATTATGCAAACGAAACCTTATCTAGTATTACCGAGCATTTAGTTAAAATTGAAGAAAAATTTTTCAAAGACAAGAATGATAATAAGCAAGATATGGCAAGCGCTAGTATATAAGTTTTGTTCCTTGTCAAATCGATGGTAATTTTTAATCTAGGAAATATGGATTTAATTAACGAATTAGAAAAAGACTTTCAAACTTCATATTTCAAACATTAACAATATTAATACTCTTACAAATGATGAATCTGAAAATAGTGATATTAATAGTGAAACAAATTTTGAAACTCTTGCTCGACAATTTGTTAATTCAAATGATGATATTAGTCAACTCACTAATGACTTTTCAAATCTTAATAAAATTCATCAATCAAAGCGAAGCACTTTCGGAAAAAATCCAAAACCAACCATAAGAAATTATTGGAATAGGCCCTCTCTTCCAGATGTTTAACTACAAGAACGAACTTTTCAATTTGATCGTTCTCAATATGATGGTAATTCTGTTTATGAATGGAATGTTGATGGCCATTCTGAACATCAAATTATGAATATTGTACAAGAAATGACTATGGCTGCTAATGCTTATAAACCTCATAATAATACTCAACTTCAAATTGTTAATATTATTACTTCTGGGTTTACTGGTAGTCTTAAAGGATGGTGGCATTTCTATATTTCACAAGAAGAAAAAGATTATATTTTATCTGCTAAGAAAACTATTATAAAACAAGAAAATAATGAACAAATACAAACGTTTGAAGATGATATGGTTAACACTTTAATTTTTGCTATTATCAAAAACTTTGTAGGAGATCCTACTACTTTTCAAGAACAAACTTCAGAAATTTTAATGAATTTACATTGCAGAAAACTTACTGATTTTAGATGGTATAAAGATAATTATCTTGTTAAAGTTTTTTCGAGACCTGATTGTAAAGAGTCTTATTGGAAAGAACGTTTTAGTGCTGGCCTTCCAAAACTCTTTGCAGAAAGAGTTAGACAAAAATTAAGAGAAAATTTTAATAATACCATCCCTTATCAAAATTTAACTTATGGAGATCTAATAAACTACATTAATAAAGAGGGATTAGCAGTTTGTGCTGATCTTAGGTTTAAGGAAAAGCTCAAGAAAGATAGAATTAACAGTAAAAATGAATTTGGTAATTTTTGCCAACAATATGGTTATTAGCCCTTGAATGGTCCGTCTACTTCAAAATCTAAAGTATATAAGAAAAAATTTTCAAAATATTTCAGAAAAAAGAATTATAATCTTCCAGAAAGTTATAAAAAATGCCAAGATTATGCGCCAAATCTAAAAATCTTATAAACCAAATTATAAAAATCTAAAAGAAAATCAAAAGATATTATTATTTGTCATAAATGTGGGCGTAATGGTCATACAGCTAATAATTGTTATGCTAAGACAAAAATAAATGAGTTAAATGTTTCTGATGATTTAAAAGAACAAATAAGAAAAATTATTTTAAATACTGATTCAGATTCTGATGAAAGTATTTCTGATTTTCAAACAAATGATTTAAATATTCTCGAAAATACTACTTCAAGTTCAGAAGATTCTGATGTTTGCGAATGTATTGGTAAATGTCATTGTAAAAATTTAATCAACGTAATTACTAGTAGTTCTATTAACGTTCTTTCACAAGATGATAAAGATCTTTTAAACTCTCTTGATTCTATAAAAGATAAAAATATCCAAGAATTACTAATAAAGCAGATGCTTAATAAAACTAATAACATAACTCCTGTTAATAATGAAAATTTTAATTTAAAAAATATATATGAAAGATTTACTGAACCAAAGCCAATTTCTATGCAAGAACTTCAAGAAGAATTAAAAATAGTAAAACAAGAGATAAAATAAATAAAAAATAAAATTTTAATTTTAGAAAAAGAAAAATCTTCTATTTTAAAACAAAATATAGAAATTAATAAAGAAGAAGAAAATAAAATTGAAAATGTAACTATTGGTAAAATTATAAATAATCAAGTTTTTCAAAATGGAACACTCAATTACTTTAGTCAAGAATAATTTAAAATCACCTAACTGCTTTAATTGATAGTGGTGCTGATATGAATTGTATTCAAGAAGGAATTTTTCCTACACAATTCTATGAAAAAACTGCATCTAGACTTACTGGTGCCGGAGGTACAAAATTAATTGTTAGCTGTATGACCATTACGCCCACATTTATGACAAATAATAATATCTTTTGATTTTCTTTTAGATTTTTTATAATTTGGGTTTATAAGGTTTTTTAGATTTTGACGCATAATCTTGACCCTTTTTATAATTTTCTGGAAGAATATAATTCTTTTTTCTGAAATATTTTAAAATTTTTTTCTTATATACTTTAGATTTTGAAGTAGACGGACCATTCAAGGGCTGATAACCATATTGTTGGCAAAAATTTTCCAATTCATTTTTACTGTTAATTCTATATTTTTTGAGCTTTTCCTTAAACCTAAGATCAGCACAAACTGCTAATCCCTCTTTATTAATGTAGTTTATTAGATCTCCATAAGTTAAATTTTGATAAGGGATGGTATTATTAAAATTTTCTCTTAATTTTTGTCTAACTCTTTCTGCAAAGAGTTTTGGAAGGCCTGCAATAAAACGTTTTTTCTAATAAGACGCTTTACAATTAGGTACAATTTTCAAAATCTTTTTATACAGTCTGTCACTATCATTAAATATCTATACACAAAAATTTAGACTAACACTTATAAATAAAGTCTCACAAACGACGCGTTGATCATTAATCAAAATGTTAGTATTTATGAATGTATTTTATTCTATTTTAACAATTTATTTTTATTATTTATTCGAATGATATATTTGCCAACTCGTAATTTTGACGCGAAAGCTGTGATAAATAAGGAGGAGGCATTTTCGTTGCTTACTCAAACACCAAGACCATGAGGCGTTTCATTGTCTCCAGGTTATGTACTTCTGCCTCACGGCCAGCACCTTCTTCGTTAAACCACCACCACCACCATCACCACCACCACCAACATCATCAGTATCGTGATGTTAGTTATATCTTCTGCCGCAACCCAATCAGTACATCCGATAGAGGTGCACAATCGCAAGGTAATGGGAGTACACTTAGATGGCTATTGCACAGCCACAAAATCCGTTCTTTCATGTCAAGCCGGGAAAGTCCTCGGAATACTATTAGCAGGTATAGCTTCTCCATTTTTACTCTTCGTTTATTACGATTTCATATTCTTTAGTAAATTGTCCAAAATGTAAGAAGTGTAAGCTTCGTACTCGTCATGACTCATGATACACTAAACATCTTTTTTTTTTCCCAATTTTTGTAGTTATGATGAACCAGAAAGTGAAAGCGAGGAGCGGGACCCCATTAGAATCGAAGTTTTCCGAAGAACACATAAAACCCTCGTCTCCAACACCTCAAAACCTTAGATATTTCAAGCTTTCCATGTTTGATCAGATCCAGATATCCATATACTACCCGTTTACATTCTTCTATCCAAATAATAAAAATAACAACAACAAGAACGTGGAGGAGATCATAACGGAACGTTCAAATCATCTGAAACAATCACTCTCCGAAACCCTAACACAATTCTACCCGTTTGCAGGCAAGGTTGCCAGCGAACTTCACATTGATTGTAATGACGAGGGTGTATATTTCATCGAGACTAGGGTTGATGATAGGCTCGAGAATGTGCTTAAGAAACCCGACAATAAATTCTTGCAACGGTTGATACCGGTGGTTAATTCTGTCCCGAATCAACAATTGTTGGGATCTTATGTTTCAATGGTGCAAGTTAACTTCTTTAGCTGTGGTGGGGTTGCTATTACTGTGCAACATAACCATAAACTTGTAGACGGAGCTAGCTACATGATATTCTTGAAAGCATGGGCTGCGATTGCTAGACGAGATTCGAATCTTGTAAATCCTAGTTTTGTTTCATCATCGATGTTCCCACAAAATCCTCAGTTGCCATATGCACCATATGTTCCGATATGGTGCTTAACGATTTCTCCAGCTTATTTAAAGCACGGACAATGTGCAACTAAAAGATTTGTTTTCGATGCTCTGGCTTTGAGGGAACTCAAAGCCAAAGCATCAAAACATCAGCCAGTCAGCCGAGTCGTGGCTGTACTGGCCTTTGCTTTGGAAATGCATCACCACTGAAACAAAATCTAAGCCATCGGTTTTACATCTTCCGGTGAACATCCGTCCACGAAGTTCCCCGCCAATGCCTGAAAATTCAGTGGGAAACAGTCTTTTGGGAACGTGTGCGGAGTTTGATCCAAACACAAGTGATCTTGAACTACCTTCAATGGCTGCTCAACTACAGGAAGCGGTTGCAAATGTAAACGGTGAAGCGATTGAAGAACTGAAAGGAGAAAACGGGCATTTTAAGTTCGTAGAAAGCCTGAGAATGTCAATGGAAAGATTTTCCGACTTCAAAAGCGAATACTATTTGACTACGAGTATGTGTAATTCAGGAACTAAAGAAGCCGATTTTGGATTCGGAAAGCCTGTGTGGGCATGTACAGGGAACTTGAATGAAGATATTCCTACTTTTATGAACAGGATGATAATGGTGGATTCGTGTTCTGGTGACGGAATTGAAGTCTGGGTGACGCTGGAGAAACAAGTAATGGATTCCCTTAGGTCCAATTTTGAACTTCTATCGTTTGCTTCTGTGGATCCTAGTCCTCTATCTATAGCTTAAATATTGATTTATGTATTCATTTGTTTGGATTGTGAAATATTTACTTGTTCTTGTTAAGGTGCATGATTGAAATAAATATCCATGAGATATGTCATGTTTGATTCATACTATATATGTGTACTTTTAGAACGTGTTAATAAAATGACGATGAAACTTTCTTCGCTTTGATGTGGCCTACCTTATCATCGGTCTCTCTCTCATCCATCCTCTATAACAACTTGATTTTTCAATAACGATAATACCAACTTAGAAAAGTATCCACTTTAAATATACCTGGTGTTTTCACTCAGATAAATTACCATATCTGGTCATGCACCGATTGTTTCTTAGAGCAAGTTTGAGCGCCAATTGTTTTCACATGAACAGCGGTATTGACGTATCTGAACAAAATTTAAGATAACTTACGGCTAGCTAGATCTAACCATAGCGTTTTCCGTGAATTATATCTTACTTATGAATTTTCAAAAAGTCAAACATGAACAAAAATATGAATTTTCAAATAAGAAAGCATAAACACGTACAAAAAAGTAACATGGACAAAAATAAGAATAAGACAAAACAAGAAAACAATATATATATATATATATATATATAATATATATATATATATATATATATATATTATATATTATAGGGGAGAGGTTCATGCGAAAAATGCAAATAATTTGCGGAAAACGCGGAAAACAAGAAAAATCTATGATATTGTGTCAACTCAACATTATATTTTGGAAAATAATTATCCAAACTTTGAAATACATAATGATAATCGATGATAGATGAAAAATTGTTTCATATTAACAAAGTATGATTTTTAACATTTTTATTATGAAAAATGAATTTAAAAATGATTAAGCACGTGAAAAAAAAATTATTAAAACCGTCTTTAAATCTATATTACCATAACATCATCCAATGTAAACTTACTATCTTTAATTTATTGCTAATAAATTTATTTTTTTATAGTACATGTGTTTGATTTTTATAAGATAAAATCTGTTTTCACGTTTTCGCATGATATTTATGTTTTCGCATGAACCTACTTTTATATATATATATATATATATCTATATATATATATATATATATATATATATATATATATATATATATATATATATATATATATATATATATATATATAGGCCTAGGCGGCCGATTAATCGGCGCCTAGGCGCTTGGCGGTCGTCGACTGATGACGATTATAGCTAATCGGCCTCTCTAATCGGACGTGGTCAAAATCGGTCAAAGCCGGAGATTATCGGAGCTAGGCGGGGTCTAGGCACTCTAATCGGTTGACCAGGTCAACGAAACTTAAAAACTTTCAGGGGTTAAATTGTCAAAATGTAAAAATTGATGGTAGGGTTCCTTCCGATTACCCCATTCCATCGCATTCAATTTTTTTTCATTTTGAAAGTCTCTCTGTCGGACTCATGGAAGGTGCGACGAACGCCGCCATGTTCTTCTCCATTCACGACGTCGTCTTCTTCTTCTCCGTTCACGATGTCGCCGTCTTCCTCATCTGAAGTTCGTCTGAAGCACACTGGTATCGTCTGAAGTTCTTCATCTTTTGCTGAAGCTTCTGTGTGAGGCTTCGGCGCCTTCCGTTCCTCGCCTAGCGTCTTCTGTTCATCCCCGACTTCTCCTTCAGGTTAGTCTCCAGTCTCCACTTCTCATTCTTTTATTTGTTGTACGAATTGCAATTTCTAGAAATTATTTGAGGAAGAAAACGAGTTTAATCATTTTTTTAGAATCCGTTTAAGGGTTTTTCTAGAATATGTTTAAGCATTTTCTAGAAATTATTTCAGGTTAGTCTCCCTCTTCTGTTCCTCGTCTACCAATTTCTAGAATCTGTTTTAGCATTTTTTTTTAATCTAATATGTTTCCATTTCAAGTTTCCAGCTCTAATCTGTTTAATCTGTTGTGTTATATACCAATTATTAATCAATGTTTCTTGAAATGCTATGGCAGATCCTTGTTGAACCTTTGGGAATGTGCAGGAGGTGAACTACACTCCAAATTGCAGCTTGATTTTCCTAGGTTCTTAAAACCGATGCTTACATCCCATGTTTCGAGTGGGTTTTTGCTGGTAAGTTCAAAAGAGATTATTATACCCATTATAGCTATATTCATGAGGTTGATATGTTTGTTTTATAACTAGCATGCCAAGTGTTTGTGTAAATGCTTAAGAGAACTTTTAGCGATTTTGGTTGTTTATGGTGCGACGGTGGTGGAGTAGCTGAGGTTGTGATGGTGCTTGAACACAATGCAAACGGAAGGTTGTCATGGGGTTGTTTGTGGTTGGAGCAAAACGGAAGGATAAATGGAGCAGGTGGTGGTATTTTGCTATTCTTATTAGGGGTAGAAAGGAGGTGGTGGTTTAAGGTTGTTGCAGCTCTCAATTTGGTGGCTTGAAGAACATTTGTAATTCTTGGCTGATATGGTTGTTTAATCCAAATCATCAATGAACTAATATATTTGTTAACTTGTTTACTTATATTATTAGGATTAATGTTTATTTATTTTAAATTTTTAATAATTTTTTAATAATTAAGGTCCCCGGTTAATCCCCCGATTAATCCCCGCCTAGCCGATTAATCCCTTGACCCCAGTCCACCGCCGAGCCTACGTCGAGCGTTTTCTGCAACCTTGATATATATATATATATATATATCATATCTATATATATATATATATATATATATATCTAGTATATATATATATATAAAGAGATAGAGAGAGATAAAAAGCGATATGGGACCACATAAGGTTGGAGGGAGTGGATCCCTCTTAACCAATTCAATCCATTCTCACATAAGTTTCATATCAATTTTTCATTCTTCCATCTTTCTAATGTATTAGTGGATCCCTCTCAACCAATTCAATCTACTATCACATAAGTTTCACATCAATTTTTCATTCTTCAATCTTTGTAATGTATTGAACTCCATAGAGTATAATGTATTGTGACATCATTTTTTTACATTTCATATAACTCTATCAATTTTTTTTATAATTCATTGAACTCTACAAAGTTCAATAGAAAATTACAAATATTAATTTATTGTGTGTGTGTATATATATATATATATATTAAAAACATTCTTTTTTTTCTTTCCATTGAAGAGTTCATGACTGAACTTCAAATTCAATGAATGTCAAACTAGCATGTCATTATGGTAGAGTTTAATCCATTAAATGACAAATAAACTTATCAACTTATTTAACTCTTCCATTGAATTCACCATTATGATTGCTCTAACTTACAACATTTCCTAACCCACTCAAGCTACTTGTCATATCAGTATTTTTTTAATTAAATTAGAAAATATAAAATAACAATAAACGTAACATTTTTTAATTAAAAATATCTAATTAAAAAAATACAAGACAACAAATAATGATAATAAGAATAAAATGATAACATAATTAACATCTTATAATGCTAATTAAAATTAACTAGTTATCCAAAGATGGAATATAGACGTGCACAATGAAATCACAAAGATCAGATCGATGCTGGTGACGAGTTTCAACACTGCGCAATTCATGAAGTATTTTGTTGGAAAGTGTGTCTAAGGTCATTAACTATTGGTTATAGTTCTAATAATAGTAGGGTCCTATTGGGTTGCCTTTAAGACTCAAATTAAGTAGAATCAATAAAGGATGAATTGATTTATTAATTATTATGGTTTAATAGTTAATTTGAATCTAATTGGAAAAAAATTAGGAATTAATTAACAGTTTCATTAATCTTCGGGTTGAATGTCAATTAATCAATAGATGATTAATCAAGAATATTCCAAAACCCTATGAAAGAAGTGGGGTGGATGAAAATCCCTTTAGAGTGAGGGAATTCCATTCTAGGGTTATCCCATCCTACATGGGTAAAAGGATAAAACCCTGGAATATATCCAAGGCTATAAATAAGGCCTTAGGGATTCATTCTTCATTGCTTATTCAAGACTTGAAGTTTCGCCTCTTCTTTCTCCCTCCTTGTGGACGAACTCTCTCATAGGTTGTCCCCTCCTAGTTATTTTTTATTCTACTCGTTTTAGTTCATTGAGTGTGAACCAAGAGAGGGATTCTAGTTTGCGTTATTTACATCCAAACAAGGTGGCACGCACGAGAGCTTAAGCGCGAAGGTCTTTGGCTGAAAAGGATCTATGATTCTTTCCTTGTTATTATGTTTCTAAGGTAGTTGTAATTGTTGGATTAGTGTCTAAGTCCATAACTATTTTGGTATGTACTTGACCCGATGGTGCATGGTCCTTTTGGGTTGCCTTCACAAAAGCAACTTGATAGGATGAACTATGGAGAGAAAGGATTAATTATGATTTATTTAATATTATGAGAATAATATATTAAAGGAGAAATCATTTGTTAATTAATATTAGTCAAGAATTAATTGGTAATTAGTTTTGTGGCTAAAAGAGATTAATTAAACTTAAGGGACTAGAACTGTCAATTGTATGATAGTTGAATATTGAGCTAATGGACTACATATAAAGGGGGGACGAATTCTATGGGGAAAACCATTAGAAATCGTCCCAGGCTTTAAGGAAGGAGTCCATGGGTTGCTTAGGGCTTAAGCATCCAAATTAGGTTTCCTTGTTTGATAACCCTAATAGCCTCTCTATTAAAGGACCCTTATGGCTCAAAAACGTGGTGAACGTTGATTAGGGTTTCCCCACGTTTTGGTAGCCTCCTTCTCTTCTCTTCTTCATCCTCTTGCTCTTGGTGTTGTGAACCATTAGAGAGAGTGACATTTGTGACTCTAAGCTTTCTAAAGTCATTACAAGGAGGATTTGAGATTGTTATTGCTACATAACAATCAAGGTATGATCTAAACCCTAATTCATATGTTAATATTGATTATCACATGCTAGATCTAGGGTTTATAGTCTTGGATGAATGCATGTACAATAGAGAAACCTAGATCCAAGCATTAGGGTTTGCATGAGCACAGGATGTTCTTATGGCCTAAACCCATCAGTGGTATCAGAGCCTTGATTGGTTCTATTGTATTGATGCCTTGGTTATTTGTTCAAGCTTCAAAATCGATTTTTTGGCTCCCTGACTGATGAACTCGGCGAGTTCCAATGTGGACTCGGCGAGTTGCTCCAACTCGGCGAGTCCATAGAGGAACTCGGCGAGTTAGCGTCAGAAAGGGGAAATTCGGGAGGATTCTTGCTGTTTTGCTTGAGGATACTTGCCTTAATTGTTTTGGATCTTAATATTCGAATTTTATCTTATATTTGAGATATCCTTGATTAAACAAAAGATAATACCAATTGATTAGATAATAACTTCCTTATATGATTAAAGATTATTATTTGTATTAATTGGGTAACTTATCTTGCAAGAAATTGAAATTAGGTCAAATTAGATAATCATTAAATTAATTGTTTAATTTAAATTATTTGCTATTTGATCTTGTGTTTTTGAAATGTTTCAAATACTTGCCCTCAAGTTTTGGAATTTAAATTTTGATTAAAGGTTTGATTTGAAATATTTAAATTCTAACCCTAATGTTTTGAAATGTTTCAAAACTTGCCTCAAGTTTTGGAATTTAAAAGTTGATTAAAAGTTTAATTTAGAAATGTTAATTCTAAAACCCTAGTATTGTTTGAAAAGTTCAATTCACACCCTTATGGTTTATTAATTAATTAAAGTGTATAATTAAGAGAGATTAATAAATCCATAAAGTTTTTGTTTACAATTTAATTAAATTAAAAGGTAATATTAAATTTGACCACCAAGTATTTTAAAAGTTGTAAAATACACCCTATACTATATATAACATTAAAAGTCTAGTATTATATATTGTATGAGTAAACAGTCAGTCTTACCGTTAGTAGGCCTCATTCACGAAGCTGGTCTATAAGGGTTGTTTTAAGGAAATTGCCTATAAAATGGCGATTGAATGGGTATCCACTTACCCACCGCACTCTTGACTAGTGGAGGGTCGTTAGCCGAACGGGTAGGATAGGACAGAAACCTTCCATTATAAGTATAATGAAGTACAAAAGTAACTAAATGCTTTTACAAAATTCCCAATCTTAGTTACTTTAGGCAAAAGTGAATTGATGCAATTCCATGAAATTACACTTTGTGCCCTTGCGAAGACGTTAGTGGAGCGTGTGTGGTTAACGGCACACTAAATGGTTCTAAGCAAAGGTAGCAAAGGGTGACTCATTGTTTGTCATAGTTCGGTGGAGCGTGTGTGGTTAACCGGCACATCGAATAGGTGACTGTAACATTTGAGGGCACCATGTAAGTTTGCATGGTTTATTCACACCCTGTTTTGTGATCCTCGGCATCCCAGTCACAAATCGAGGGGCATATCGAGATTTAAACATGCCATTGAAATGTTCAATGAATCTCAAAAGATCTAGGACTTTTCAATAAATAAACTTAAATTTCTTTTTCGTTTTCATGGTGGAAATTAGTGAATCGTCATTCACTTACCTTCAAATGTTCTGCAATTGGGTTACGGCATCCCTCTCCCAAGTTGTAGAGTATTGTGTTGGGTCCTAGCCTTAATATCTCATTTGGGGTGATTTATTAAGGACTCAATCAATCAACTAACTTGAATTTTTCTCCCGTTTTGTAGATGTCAAAGTATGACAACTATGGTCTTCCCAAATCCCGTGGAAAAGCTTTTCCATGAAGATGATATTCCACGATTCGATCGAGGAACAAGAGATCATGCTTCACTTCCTCCACCTCCTCCTTGTTCTCCCTAACCACAAGTTCAAAAGGTTGAAAAGTTCAAACTCACTCAAGCCCTTTTGGCAAGTAAACCTGAAGAAGGAAGTCAGTGTGTGCACACGTCCTAGAGATGAAGTCGCACATTGATAGGTTAAGAATGTTGGGATCTGTGTTTGTGAGGAGCTGGCTGTTGACTGGGTTCTTCAGTCACTTCCTGACTCATATAGTGAGTTCGTAAGAGGTACTATATGATGAACCACGACGTAACCCTCATCGATCTCACCTATATGCTTATTGCTGCTGAATCAGCAATGATTTGGCGCACTGGAAAAGCAAGTTGATTGGTGGATCTGCCTTCCAGACCTCTATGGATATAGACAATGCAACGAAAGGCATGCCATGATCGAAAAGTTTGATCATAAGAGAAAGGCAAAGTCAGAAGTAGTTCCGTGTGTGTGTTCCAAAAGAGTCAATTTGCTTTTATTGCCAAGAGAAGGGGCATGGAGACGAAGCTGCCCTATTTACCTAAGAGATCTAAGAGATGGGGAGAGAGTCAAAACGTATGGCTCTACTTTAGGTAAAATCCATTAACTAACTCTTTTAAGTTCCTATTCTAGATTCTTAATACATAATGTGATAAGATTACATTTCGATGTCTTGTAGGATCGAAGAAAAGAGAGGAGGAATCTTAAGGGAAGAAGTGAGCGGAATCTAATCGTGAAGAAATGGATTTCGATCGCATTACTTG